CCAAATCTGTAAAAACGGCAAATGGAAGACGCAGGTTCAGAGGGAACTCCACACTAATTCAATCTCATCTAAATTGCGGTTGTGTAATAACTACAATCTCCTTTGGCAAACACGGAGCAATCACTGGGGATCACCAACACACACTGCTGAACTCAGCACGGTGTTCAGCAGCTTCTCACAGGCAGCCTGACAGACAGACAGCCACACCGGCAGCACCCAGGGCTCAGCAATGAGGAACGTCTGCTCTTCTTGCTGCTGTGAGATGACAAACGTGGCACCAGCACGTCTACACCTTCTAGTCTGACAATACTTGAAAGGGGTGCCAGCGACCCAGAGACAAGTCTATCCTTACACTCATGGGATTAAAAAGATAAGGTTGAATAAATTTATGTATGTTAAATATTTTGCCTTTTTTTTTTAAATCCTCACAGACTGAGGGCAAAGTAGGCCTGAGGCTAAAGCAGAATATTTTCTACAACCATTTCATTAACTGATCATTTGCTAGAAAGTCCCACCCAATTTCATTTTCGCCTCGTTTCCCTTCCCAGTGCAGGCAGTTCGAGGCAGCCTCCACAGGGGTGTGATGGAGACACTGCCCTGTGCCCCTGCACAGCTCAGCCCGGGGCACCGACCCTGCCCATCACCTAAATTCCTGTTCAACTTCACACAGAACTGAAGAGCTTCCCCAGCCCAGCCGGGGCAGCACCGATCGCCCCGCGCAGGACGGGTACCCGCTGCCCGCGGACACGGCCCTCCCCAGCGCCATGTGGCCCACATGTGTGATCACGCCCGGGGAGGCCACAAGAGCCAGCTTGTTGCAGCCTCTCACTAAAGCCATAGGAGGGGACTGGAATTTCCTCACAACATTCCTGGCCCGCTGCCCGCAGCCATAATTACTGTTCCCATGGCAAAGATCCTGGCTTGGTCGCAAATCACTTCTATGCAGTCAGCCTGCATCACACTCAGCAAACCCTGCTTTAAAAATTAACTTCTCAAATGCCACAGAAGGATACTTTTTTTTTTTCCTAGAAGCATCCTCTTTCAAAAAAACCCCAACTTAACCAAGGAACAACAAGATTATTCCACAGCTAAACCATTCTGAGTCTTTTTCAATGCCTGAAGTGCAACTTTAAAGAGTAATAGTTCATACTCATCCTAGTAAGTCAGTCCTGCTCAGAGGCCATTACAGCCCAAAGAGACAGTGATATCTTGGCAAATTAAAGGGAAAGGAGATACAGAATCTTGATCAAATGACTTCTAAGAGCTAAGTACAGAGGTCAGACCCAGCACCTAGGAGCTCACATACAGTGCCTCCATCTTAAGGCCATACTTCCTTCCTTTTCAGACACCAATGAAATTATGGTAAGAACTAAGACTTAAATCATGTGTTTCTAATCTGCAGGACATTCCAGAAGGCTGTGCATCCAGAGCCCCATACCAAGGCTGTAATGAGCTTCCTAAACAAATCCACACTCTTTAAACTGAAGCGCCTGTGGAGAAGCTGAACGCGAAGCCCGGGCACGGCCACGACAGTCACCATCCTGGACAGAAACGGGGCCGTGTGGTGTCGAGTGAGCTGTGAGAGCTTCCCGGGACTTGTGGAGTTACAGAACCTAAATACAACAGAGATCTTGGGGCGATCAATGGAAGTGGGTGTGAGTACCCTTAGTATGTAAACTACGGATGTGAGAAAATCCACAAAAAGCGCCAGCACCCTGCCTTTTCAAACAACAAAGTAGAGCAAACTGATCCATACCCTCACAAAGTCCTGGATCTCATAGTGAGACCCCGCAGCCAGGACCACCTACAGCAGGAATCCAACCAAGAGGCCATTGCAAGTTCTCTCTGATCATTTCACTGAATTTTTAGAGTTGGAAGGGACCGTAGAGATCATCTAGTCCAACTCCCCTGCTGAAGCAGGATTGCCTAAAGCTAGAGCATGTTACTCAGGAGCATCCAGGCAGGTCTTGAAAGTCTCCAAAGAAGGGGACTCCAATATCTCCCTGGGCAGCCTGTTCCAGGGCTCTGTCACCCTCATCGTGAAGAGGTTTTTTCTCATATTTGAGTGGAATCTCCTACGTTCCAACTTGTGCCTGTTGCCCCTTGTCCTGTCACTGGCAACCACTGAGAAGAGTCTGGCTGCCTCCTCCTTCAATCCACCCTCTAGATACTTATAAGCATTGATAAGCATTTCCTCAGCATTTTTTGTTACAGGCACTTTTCCTACTTGTCTGAGAATTCTTCAGCTTTGGGACGTTCCAGTCACGAAGAGGACATTGAAAAGCTCCACTGGTGTTTCAGAGCTGACAGCTTTTGAGGACTGCAATCTTCTAATACCTTATCAAACCAGCTGGAGCACTGCTCCTGCCCTCTTTGTACATCCATGGCAAGAATGAATAAGTCCACACCTCAGTTTAAAAGCAATTTTCCAGCTCCAATTTTCCTGTCTAATGTAGAAGCTTAGCCAGCATGCTCTCCTGTAAGCACAGCTTTCAGAACTGACACCAACAAAGTAGTTTTATCTCCACATGAATCTCCTTCCTCAACTAGGTTTTATGAAGTCAGAAGATCACAACGCTGCAGCTCCACAGCATTATTTGAAATTATCAAGCAATTATAAAGAGCATCTGCTTCTGAAGGGGGGGAATCTGTTAATCCACAAAGTTATTTCAGTGATGCCCCAGGGATCAAACAAGCGCTGACGGATGGACAACACTCAATCACTGCAGTTATTTCAGCAGAGACAACACTGAAACACTTTTCTGGGATACTAAAGAAACCTTCTGCAGCCCCTTCAAACTCCTTCCTGGCAAACCAAAGGGAAAGAGGTTGAAATGGAAGCAACACCAAAACTTCAGAAGAGCTGCAGCCAGTGAGGTTTTACACAAACCACAGAGGAAAGTATTTTTAAGAAGCAATTGATAGAGGATCTGATGACACGGTTTTGTGAAACAGAGCCACCTGTACCTCTCAGTGCAAGAGCCCTGCAGCCAGAGCAGGAGGAAGCAGGAGGGAGCTGACCCACACTCAGCAACACAGGGGACACAGGCAAAGAAAAGCCATCACTTAAGTCCCCAGCTTTGTGCAAACAGGACTAACTTACCCCCACACATCTATCACAGCATTAAAGAACATGCTTCTAGTACACGATCTAGACTGGCACATTCAATGTCTTAGTTAAACATAATCAGATAACACGGTTACGTTGAAAAGAATTTTAAAACTTACCTTTATCAAGATGCTTTAACTTTCCTTTTTGCTTCTGCCACTCTTTAAATTTGGATTCAACTCTCTCAAAACCTGCCTCATCTGACTTGACAAGAAACCTCATTTTTGCTGCAGGGTTTTGTCTCACCAGTCCCCACCCCACTGCACGGCTGGCATAGCTGTGGTTACAGCTCCGTCCTGCACTGGGAACCAAAGCACTGGGATGGGATTTCTCCCAATCCTCGTTTGAGACGTCTGCCCATAGAGCAGGAGAGGCTGAAACCACCCCCAGATGGGAGCGATGAGGCATGCAATCCCACATCCTGAAGCTTTTCAAGATTCACTGAGGACTACAATTACAGTTTCAGAAGCTTCCTGGTCAAGTTCAGTTATGCAAAACTACTTCTTAAAGTTGCACAAACCTAAAGCTGCAAATTATATATTGTTAAAACCAACTGAGGGGACTTTTACCTGGATTAATCCCATTACTAGATGTATCAAACTGCCCTACAGTGGTCAAGGAATTACTTAGTCCACTTTTTATAATGGCTACAAACTAGTGACCAACCTTAGTGCCCAGGCTGAAGCCGTTCCTCCTCCTCCTCCTTCTCTGATGGCAAACTGAACCCCTGGAGCAGTCAGTGTTCTCAGCCAGAACCAGACACTATCGTGGCACTACCTTTAATTCAAACTTCAGATTCTCATACGAGGAAGAGTTAGAAGAACCTTTCCCCTATAGCCATTAAAGAGAGCCTCTTCAGGTGTTCAATGCTTCTCAGAAGCCCTAAAGCACTAACAAGCATGCCTGCACTCAACAGCAGCCACAGCTCATCTTGTACTTCCAGTATGAAAAACCACTTGCTGTTGAGGAGCAAATTCTCTCTTACACTCCCACTTCTCCCATGACTCTACCACACACCAGTGCTATCACACACTGCATCCCTGCACCAGCCTGTTCCAGCGGCCACACACAACCCTACTTCTGCCTTAATACTGGAGACCACACAACCAGGGCCATTAAAAAGCTGTCAGTGCTACTGTGAGGGCCCACATTCACACACACGCTATCTAATGAAAAGAACTCGCGGGGCTGAACTTACTGTGCTCCTGATCCCAGAGCATGAGCTACAGTGTCCAGGCAGTACAGTGAAAAACCTTTAATGCAGGAAGGAGTGCCAGTCTGTCCTGCACATTCCAGTTCAGCATTTCACAGGAATGAGCTTTTATCCCATGGACACAACAGCCTCCGACCAGGCACGGCAGATAAGGAGGCTCCTGTCAGCACTTTGAGTTTCAGGGCTAAGTCTGCATTTTCAAAACCTGAGACTAGAAGGGTAAAGGTCATATTTACTGTACTCGCAAGAGATAAAAATCAACAGCTAAACACTCCATTTTTTGTGGCAGAAGGATTTTTGACATATAACTAAACAGGAATTCACATCAACAAAGGAAATAGAGTTCTCAAAAAAGCAAGGCCCAATTTCTCCATTGAGAAGCATTGTCTAGCACACACATAACGAGCAGGGCTTGGCATTTTAGTAGGGGAAGGGGCTGTTTCTAAATGCAGTAAAGTTCTTTTCTGACAGTTTATAATCATGTCTAAATGCCAAGAGCTAATGCTGAGCCATAATCAAAGTTTTAAATGCACGTGAAACTAAATTACTTTCTGGTTAAAACCAATTTACATGGTACCAGAAATAACCCTTTAAAGGTGAAGATCTGCATTTGGTGAGGCTAAAACTAGGTCAGATGCTGAGCAGTGTAAAAAGAGAGAAAAAGTGAGAAGTGCCTACCTTTGTACCAACTGTTATATCTTGGACAATGCTGTAGAAAAAAGAAAGAAAAGGATTAAAAAAGTTAGATAGGTTTGCCACAAATATCCAGCGTAGTTTACAGTAGTAAGAAAAAAGCAAGTCAAAGTGCACAGTTGTCTTTGCAAGTGAGCCAAGGACAGTTCATACAAAGGAAAAATATTAGATGGTGATGGTGGAGACCCAAGACCCAGCAGTGCTAGAAATCTGCAGCTCTGCCACCTCCTACAGCAGAGCTTGTGAGCCCCGGGGACTGAGACCAAACCCAGTTACAGCCCAGCATTCCTCAGGGAAAGGGACAGGATCCCAGCACCACCTCTGACTAACCCCCAGCAAAGTGTCAGGAGTCGACTCCATCACCAACAGCCACTTCTCCAACTTTAACCACCTTCTGCCGGAAGGCGCACGCTCTGCCAGGCTGGAAGGGGCTCTCTCCTGCAGAATTTCCACTCACAACCAGTAACGCTGGAGCCCCGGGGGAAGGGGCTGTGCCAGGAGGGCAGCCCCCAGCCCCACCAGGGCCAGGTACCAGCGTGCCAGGAGAAAGGGGGAGACCAGGCAGGGCACATCTCTACATGACATTCCTCATCTGTTCTTTTTTGGAAAACAAACAGTACTTTTCCCCTAACGCAGATCTGAAGGAAAAACCAGATATTAAGCTCTACCACATATGCTTAAACCTCCTCAAGTGAGACTTCCTGAATACGTAGCATGAAAATGGTGTTCACTGCACCTCCAGCAGCTCGTACCAGCTCTCACAGAGCTCTCGAGGTGGTTGGACTAGATGATCTGAAAGGTCCCTTGCCATCAACCGGCTCTCGCCAGCGTGACCATCACACACAGCTACCGAGAGCAGCTTCTGTCACTGGGGGCATCAGAATGACTTGTCTATACCTCTGCACATTGAAGATAAAGCTTTTTTATAAACTCCAAACCACTCTAAAGCAGCAGTGTAAAAATAAGAGCAGAAATGATCATCAACTGGCTCTCGCCAGCGTGACCATCACACACAGCTACCGAGAGCAGCTTCTGTCACTGGGGGCATCAGAATGACTTGTCTATACCTCTGCACATTGAAGATAAAGCTTTTTTATAAACTCCAAACCACTCTAAAGCAGCAGTGTAAAAATAAGAGCAGAAATGATGATTTTAGATTGATGTATATGCCACACTTCCCATTTCAACCCTTATCTTTCAAAGAGCTCACCATTCTTTCCGAGCACGGGACCCAGAAGTGCCTGGGGACCAGACCCGGGGCAGCTTTAAGGAACCACGGGAGGGAAGCAGACGGCCCGGCAGCAATTCTAAACCAGCAATATGAAATCTGAAGTACTGGAGAACACTTCCACAAAGTGATTTAACACCAGAGAACTTGTATTTACCAGTTGCTCCTTCCCTACCCTCCTGCGACAATTCATGGCTTTCAAGGCACTGAGCCCTGCTCGGTCTGATGAAGTCACTCCTGTTCCACCACTCCCCGAACCGGCCGTAACGAGCAGGAGCCGGCTCAGCCCCTGGTACTTCCTCCTCCAGAGGAGCTGCCATGTCAGCGCAGCCGCCCCACGGCCCCGCGCCGCTCCCGAGGAGCTCCCTACAGAGGAACGGGCCCCGCAGCCCCACCGAGGACAGATGGGTTCTGCTGCACTTAGAGGGCCAGCAGTAATGAACTAATTAAACCCATCTGCACGGAGCAGTTTAAAGGATCACAATCACTCTATTAGAATCACTAAATATTCTATGAGTCCACATTTCATCACTTAAAATACATACCTTAACCCAGTGATTTTCATAACCTTAACAAACGTTTTTTCCAGTAAAGCAGAGTAAGAACAGGGAATCTCCCAAGTTTCCAAAACTCTCGAACTTACCCCAGAGCAATTTCTCTCACTTCCTGTTCCTCTGCTGGGCCTCAACACAGGAAATGTTTTACATAAAGTAACTTTAACAGGGGATAGTGTACAAAATTATCCAGCAGGAAGAGCTTTTTTATTTGCCAAGAATCATCGATTCCTGGAATATTGTTGTTACCCGCTTGATAACAAACACCACCCAAAACAAGCACCAACAGTATTTAACAATTTTTATTGAAGAAATGTGCGACAAACCTCCAGTTCCCACACACCCCTGGACACGTTACCATACACTCAGCTCCAGCCTCTTCTCCTGTGTCAAACTTCAGTACGGGACTAAAATTTTTCTCATTTCCAAAAGAACAGGCAACGCCTTCCATAAAAATTACTTTTTACACCAGAATGGGTTAATTCCTACACAGTAAGGGGAAAAATTAAGCAGCATAAAACCTCTGGGTTGTTTTCCAAAACAGTGTTTCCCATACAAACTCCTTGCATGTTTTAACAACGCAACTTATTCCGAGGGGATCACTTGAAAAGCAGAGCCACGTATGGTTCTGGGCAGGAGGAGCTGAGGAGCCTGTAGCCCAAGAGGCCGCTCACTGCCAGCTGGGCAAAAACCTAGAACTGTTTGAGAGGCAGCTGAGGAAGTTCCAAGAGGAGGCAGCTTTCACAGGACAAGATCATGCACCAAGATCTTCAGATGACAACGGATAATTAAGACTCACAGGCTACACTAAAATTTTACATTAAAATTACAGCTTTTTGTAAAACACACACTAAATGAGCTTTTCTAGGAAACAGAGCAAAGACAGCTGACAACAAACTGATTTTTGGCATTAGAGTGTATGGTCTCACACTCACATGCTGAAGATTTTTCTTTAAAAAATATCACTCCAACACGATGAGCAACTTGTTGAAAGCAGCAGAGCAACCTGAACTGCACCCTGGACTGCCAAATTAGCAAGATACACAATTTTTATTGTATTTTTTAAATACAAACAGCACCGAGCCAGCCCCTTTGCAGCACGTAGAGCCCCCGGCCAGGGACTGGAGCAGCCGGCGCTAATTTGGGCTTTCCCGGACGGAAGGCTCCGGGGAAACAGAGTGCTCGCTCCGAGGCCTTCCGAAGTGTTACCTACTGCGCTCCGGAGGAACAAAGCTGCGCTCGCCAGGGAAACACGGCGGGGAAACAGGGGGGACAGGGAGAGCCCGGTGCTGACAGGGCCGCCTGCACACCACAGCGCTCCTAAGGCACACACCGGCGGAGCAGCGGCCGGACGAGGCGGCGGTCACAGGGCGATCAGCGCTGCCCACGAGGGAAGCGCCGGGCTCCAGAGGCACCGGGGGAGCCCGGCGGGGGCGGGGGCCCGGAGGGGTCCGGAGGCGGGGGAAGGTCCGCTCCGCTCCCCGCCCCAGGTACCGCCGCCGCGGGAGGGGGGTCGCGGCCGGGCGCCCCGGGGCCGCGCTGCGAGACCCGTGCGGAT